CGGTAATATTTATGATATTTTAGTAATTATGATTCTAGCAATAATCCAATAATATGACGTTGGTATTTTTTACATTAAGTAGAGGTACAGTAGAATCAGGAATATGTACAGGTAAATATTTTTAAAATAAATCCAATAAATAATTATGTAAAAGTTTAGTAAAAATGGATATTCACCCGGAAATACAGTACCGTATGTTATTTAATGAATTTGAGAAATTCAATTAAAATAACTTAGGGTAACAATACCAATATTGAATACTAAATATTTAAATTAAAACTTAGTTGTTTACGAATAAAATTGTCTGGCTACTGGACATTGAGAAAGACTTGATTTTTGTCAAATATATTCAAAATGTTGCAAAACATGTTTAATTTATTAGTAAATTTACATAAAAGAAAACCAAAAAACATTTCATACAATAATGTCAGAGAAACGGGTTTCCCCCGAATCCCCGTAAATCATAGTTTTGAATCAAATAATATGCAAAATATTTTGTAAAATTGCTTTTATTAATCAAAATAAGTTTTCTTCTATTAAATTAAATTTCATTATAAATAAAAATTGTTTTCAAATTCAATATTTATATAACTATTGAAATGATTATAAAATTGCCAAAAATCCTTATATAATAGTATCAAATCAAGAAAACAAACGATTAGATTAATGACCGCTTTTATGAGACTCCGTAGGTCTCCACCAAACCCTTCACCCGGTTTACGTACGCAGACTTGGCCTCGTCTTTCGACATACCTGTGCACCCATTCAACGCATTAATACATATGATAATAGGCCACATCGAGAGCCACAATACCTTTCTTACTGTTCCAGGCGTCCCATTTGGCCTTTCCCTTCAGGTCCAGGAGTCCGGGTCGGGCTATACACGAGGGGAGTCATCACACGGGGGTTACACTAGTGGCATAACACAGGGATGGGTAGACCTACCGGTGTTGCAGTCGCCTTCAGAGGCCTGTTTGAAGAGGGCGTAGATCTCAAGCAATTCCTGGTCCGTCGGCTTTGCCTTCAACTTCTTCACGTCTTCGGCAGCCTTTTGAAATTGCTGTCAATTGGGGACAAAACACATCTTATCATCAAATGTCACACAAATAGCTTGCAATCAATTCAGTGTTCATTCAATTGACGTATGGATTCATTCAATGGATCCACACATCAATTGTCAATACATTAAATGACTATTAAATTAGTGAATCGTATGATAAATACCTGATCGGCGGACATGTCTTCGTGTGCTTTCGGATCAATTCAATTGATGGCAAGATTTAGCGACAGATAAGATAAGAGATTCAGTGTTTGTGTCAATCGTTTTCCTCAAATGCGAGTCAATTGGAGAGACAGTTATGACTGGATTTGACGCAAATGTTGTCCGCAATTGAGTCCACAATAGGTTTCAATGAGTTTTTATGTCACTTAACCGGTAAGTGTTCACTGGTTTCACAATTCAATTGCAGTTAAACTTATGATAAACTCAATGTTCACGTCACAGACACTCAACTATCACCTCATATGAGACCAACTCATGTGCTCCACCTCTCGGCTCAACCAATACTGAGCTATAGTTGCCGTCCCTTCCCATCGC